TCCTCCCTGCCTTCCAGTCTCTCTAAAAATCAATGGAAAAAATGTCCTCAGGTGAGGATAAAGGGAAAAAAATGCTAAATATGATTCATTATAAATAAGGTGAGTATGAGGCTTTGTGCATACAATTTAATCTTGTCATTAATCCTTCTTGATGTAATTTCTGTGGATTTGGTACAACATAAAATAGTATCAATTGATTAGCCCTGACAGGTGTGGCTCAGTGGAAGAGCTGCACTCCAAAGGGTATTGTGTTCAGTTCCCGGTCAAGGGCAGGTACCTGGGTTGCAGGTTTGATTTCCAGCCCTGGTTGGGACGTTCATGCAGGAGGCAACCAGTTGATGTGTCTCTCACATCGATGTTTCTCTCTCTCTTTCCCTATCCCTCTTTCCCTCCTTCCCTTCCACTCTCTCTAAAAACATTGAAAATAATATCCTCAGGTGAGGATTAACCAAAGAAAATATATCTATATGTATCTCAATTGATTAAATTTAACTTCTATGGCAATTACAGATAGAGTGAAGCCTGGTGTTAGGAGGGGCAGAAAATTAACTTTGCTTATTATTAGTCTTTGAGGTATGCTGCATCCCTGGTGGCCTCTAAGCCAGGTGGGTCTAATCCTAGTATGGACCCACCTTTCTCTCATTTAGCCCTAAGGGGCTTGTTTTGCCAAAATCAATTTAATGGTTAACCATGGAGCAATGAGTAGTCCAGGCCTGTCTAGAAGTCTTTGGGTTGTTTACCAGTGCCTTGCTTTCGGTCAATAAGCATTTGCAGTTATTGTGTGCCAAACACTCTGTTGGGTCTTGGAGCAGGAAATGGCTTCTGAGGAGCACACAGTCTGTTGGGAGGGTTGGAGAAGTCATGAGACTGTCTCATGATGTGGTATGGTGGAGCAAAGAGCCTAGAATGGAGGTTGGAGAGCTAGGTAGGGGGCAGATTGCTGCAGGGATTTATTAGCCAAGGGAATTTGGATTTTATTCTAAGCCATTAGAGTTTGTACAGGACTCTATACAGAGGGAAGGCAGCTTTGCATTTTGAAAGATCACTCATGTTGAGTGAGGTTAGAATATGAGGATGTTGGTACAGTGAACTCTTGATTTTTCTGACCTTTGACTTAATGGGCTTCGGATTTAACGGACAAAAATGCTATAGCTAGTTTGGCTCAGTGGATAAAGTGTTCGCCTGTGAACTGAAGGGTCCTGGGTTCGTTTCCAGCAAGGGCACATGCCCAGGTTGCCAGCTCGATCCCTAGAAGGGGGTGTGCAGGAGGCAGCTGATCAATAATTCTCTGGCATCATTGATGTTTGTACTCCCTTCCTCTCTGAAACCAATAAAAATATATTTAATTTAAAAAAAAGTCCAGTCTGTATGTGAAAATTAACACCCTGGTAATTTTAAAATGCATTTAACCAAGATTTGGTTATAATCATATGAATAAGTTATTTCTCTGTTATTCAGTTATTTTGAACAAATTTTAGCAAATAGGCCATATGTTGGAAAAAACACTGTAGTAGTTGTGCTGACATAAATATTACATATTTACAACTGTAGTCTACATATATAAATCCAAGAGCAGTTGCTTGCAAGCAGTGTTTGGTGAATGATTAGCACATGATCTCACTGCATTGCCCCGAGGTAATCGGTTCTGTTGTCTCTTGGGATGACTTTGTGCAGGAGTTTTAACTCATGTTGGTGATATTCCGACGTGCGCTAAACCACGCCTCAGTCGTGTGCATTTGTTCACTCGAGGTGACTGGTGAATGCACGCATCTATTAGACCTATTGAGTATAAATTTAAAATTATAGTAATGCATAGAGAAAACTTTTCTGTGAAATTTAACTTTTCATATATACTTAATTCTAATTACACAGACGTGTCTACATAAGTAAAAACTAATTTATCAATTTTTTAACATGCATTTGGAAAACTTTATTATATAATAGAATTTCACTTTAACAGACACCCCCCTTTGCTCGAATTAGTCCATTATATTGAGGTTTTACTGTATTATCAATCTTAATTGTCTGTCTCTAGCACTGCTATGGGCTCTCCCTAGAGTGAGTTTGTAAACAACATATACAGTATTTCACTCATCTTGATGAATTACAAAATGCCTCTCTTACCTTCCCCCTCAATCTGTACCTCTTACCCCTTTTCTCTGCAGACCAACTTGTTGGTCTAGTAAGTACAAGCTAAGGGGCACACAAAAAATGGCATGTTCTTATCTAGGTTCTTCCAAGGTCCCCTCCACACTCTTCTACCCACATATTACCTGCTCTTCTGTTTGCTCTGTAACCTTTGAGGGATACACACTTGGCTTTGTGTGTGGTTATCTCTACCCCCCTTTCCACGGCCTCAACACAGAGATCTCTGTGCCAGGTCATAGAATATTCAGGGGGAAGATTCTTTTTAAAATATATTTATTGATTTTAGAAAGGAAGGGAGGTGGGGGAGAGGTAGAAATATTACTGATGAGAGAGAATCATTGATCAGCTGCCTTCTGCATGCCCCACACTGGGGATCGAGCCCACAACCCAGGCATGTGCCCTGACCAGGAATCGAACTGTGACCTGGTTCATAGGTCAATGCTCAACCACTGAGCCATGTCACCTCAGCCGGGGGAAGATGTTTGTCTTAGCCTGTTCTGGCTGCTATAACAAAATACCACAGACTGGGTAACTTATAAACAACAGAAATGTATTTCCTACAGTCCTGGAGACTGGAAGTCTGAGATCAGAGTGCCAGCATGGTCAGGTGATGGTTTTCTCCATGGTTGCAGACTTTTCATTTTGTTCTCACATGGCAGAAGAGCTCTTTTGGGGCCTCTTTTGTAAGAACACTAATTTCATTTTTAAAGAAAATATATTTTTATTGATTTCAGAGAGGAAGGGAGAAATATCAATGATGAGAGAGAATGATTCATTGGTTGCCTTCTGCACACCCCACACTGGAGATCAAGCCCGCACCCAGGGCATATGCCCTGACCAGGAATTGAATTGTGACCTCCTGGTTCATAGGTAGACGCTCAACCACTGAACCATGCCAGCTGGGCTAATCCCATTTCTAAGGGCTTCACTTTCATGACTTAATCTTTTTCCAAAGGCTCTTCCACTTAGTACCATCATCTTGGGGTCAGATTTCAATATGAATTTTGGGGTGGGGGAGAGACACATTCAGACCATAGCTGGACTGGGGCATTTGGAATCAGTAGAGGGTGCTGCTGCCAGCCTCACACTGTTCCCTATCACCTCTAGGACAATGGTTTGAGAGGTTTTCTCAAATTCTAATGGTAGCTGGTGATCTTTGTTTATAGAGAAAGTTAAATGTGTCTATTATGAACACCTTCACCTACCTTAATTTAGTCTTAATTTTGACATAAAATTTTATATTCAATAGGAAAGGAAGAGTGGAAGGGAAAATTTGAGCATTTATAATGTGATAGGCTTTGATCAAATATGA